GAGGAGGTCGACCTGGTTGGGTATATTGCTAGCAATGGGATTCTCAGTTTCCATTACTAACAATCCCTTTCCCCTTTACGTAGGATGTATATAATATCATCGTTCCATCATTTCCGCCGTTAACTCTCTACTGTTGAGGGTAGGGATTGTTAGTAATGGGGAGATTAGTCCCCATTCCTATCAATATACCCTATCACGTCAACCTTCACGCGGTTCCCCCTGGAAACTATCGTGACTTCGTTGTTTATCATTTATAATTTATCGTTGAATTCGTCACGATGGGCTAACTGACCTGCCTTTTCATCCTCATCTATCTCCTCTTACTAGTACCCCGCCTATGTATAACGGTAGCGCAGGCGGGGTTACCATGCCATTTTCATCCATTAAAGAAAAAAAACTGCCCACTGCTAAAATATAAGCCTTCCCCATGAGAAGAGTTTTACCAGTAATTGCCACGCTCGGCAACCGCAGTCACGCTTTGATGATGTTTTAAGAGGGACACTGTTCCCCATCCCTCTACCGTCAAGTTCCCTTAGTCGCCTCTTACGACACTAACGGAAAAGGATTACGGAAAAGGATACATTATAAGTTGTTATTTTTTTTACCCATCCCAATAATGAAGTACCGCGTTCGTAATTCACTGTTCATCCCAGAGGTTGACTGGTAGAGAACGATACTAGCATTTAGTCCGCCTTTTGTACCATATTTTATTTTGGTCAATAGAGTCATTTAAATAAATAAATAATAAACTTAGCTTTTTTTATACAACTTAGAACGGCAAACAAGCTGACGGCCCACCTGATGGAAAGTGGTAACCGTCGCCTATATACATGAGCAGTACCATGGACATAACAGAGTATACTGTTTCGCCCATGATACCCCCCATACGTTGCCATTCCGAGGACTCAGGTGTTATTCCTCTGTACCCTGTAAATTCACGCCATATTCCACCCTTCAAACCGAAACACAGCCATGCAAACACAACTGCTTCACGGTAGAACCACGAATGAGGCAGAGGTACCCAAGCAATTGACTTTTGTACAAAGTCTCCCTCTGGTAAATTTTTATGTATTTTTTTTATCATTAATGTTATCTCGCTTTTTATGTATATCTATATATGTTGTAATTTGTGTGCTGTATGTAATGTAAATAAATTATATATCTATCTAATTATATAAAATATAATATATATATATATATATATATATATATATATATATATATATATATATATATATATATATATATATATATATTATTGCATAATTCACATTTCCACTTGTTTACAGGGGCTGTTCTTGCATTAGGGGCTCACCACTGTAATTCATGTTTTTCAATAAATATAACAAATGGGATATAAGAAATTTACCGTACAAAAGAAAGTATATTATAGCACGTGTCTGAATAGAGGTAGATTACAGACAGACAGACGTATAATGGCGGTCTTTATATATTATTTACACATTGTAACAGAGCGTGTTATTTCCAGTTTCTCCAAAGATTTATTTTCTTTGTATTGTATTTTACTTGTGAGATTTCCAAATAATTATATGTTCTTAGTTTATATATATATATATATATATGTATATATATATATATATATATATATACATACATAGAGAACATAGTCTCAAAAACGGGTCACCTTTTTGTCAGCTAATTTGACAAAATTGGCTGACTCCTTTTTTTATCAGTTTCAGGGAGATTTGTCAGTGGTTGCCACGTTTGGCAGTCGGCTTGACAAACGCAGTTAGGTTTTTGAGACAGACGTTTCTGCTCATCACTCGACCACCAAGTTTTCATAGTAGCCTCTTACGACACCCATGGAAAAGGAAAGGGTGGCCTATTCTATGGTGGGAACACCTAGCAATGGTTGGTTACCTCATAATGCACCAATTACTATGAATTTTGGTATACACGCAATAAACGGGATGAAGAATGTTATCGGCTCCTCTTTATCCCGGTCAGTGGATATATCCCACGCCACGTCAAGTCGGTTACACGGACGAAGTCGCGGGTAAAACTAAGAAAAATATGAATTGCCGAATGTAAATGTATCACTTTAAAGCCACTGCACACATTTAGCTAATTCTTTTTCTTTTAGTTGTTTTTGTTATGATAAGGACGAGGTTTGTATGAAAGAAAATGTTCGAAAAATTGTATGGAAAAGTGAAAAATTTAGGTAACAGTGCGAAGCCGGGGTTTACTAATTTTTAAACAGACTTTGTACAAAAGTCAATTGCTTGGGTACTTCTGTCTTATTCGTGTTTCAATCGTGAAGCAGTTGTGTTTGCATGGCTGTGTTTCGGTTTGAAGGGTGGGATATGGCGTGAATTTACAGGGTACAGAGAAATAACACCTGAGTCCTCGGGAATGGTAACGCATGGGGGGTATCATGGGCGAAACAGTATACTCTGTTATGTCCATAGTGCTGCTCATGTCTATAGGCGACGGTTACCACTTTCCATCAGGTGAGCCGTCATCTTGTTTGCCATTCTAAGTTGTATAAAAAAAAAACTTCAGTGTTTCCTCATTTTGAAAGTTCGATAATTATACAGAGAAAGTTAAATTAAGTTTTACTTTGTTTATTTGCTAAATAAATAATGTTAATTAAATTAATTCGTTTCTGCTTGTTTTGTTTCTCTCTAGCGTTATCCATTTGTATTCTGGGTCGTTCCGAAACCTGATGAATGTATGTATGAATGTATCCATTTAATATTGTAGACAGTTCCCGAGGATCTCATAACCTTTTAAACGGCTTCGCAATGCATAGAAATTAAGAGGGTCTGTGGAGGGGAAACTTGGAATGTGTAGTAGTAGTGTAGTAGTGGTGGCGAACATACATTACATAAAAAATGGATTTAGGTACCTATGCATATTAAATGACATAATAGACGAATAATATTATAAATTTATACAAAACACACACACACACACACACGCACGCACGCACGCACGCACGCACACGCACGCACGCACGCACGCACGCACAAACACAAAAATTTAATATATTAACACAATTATAGATATGTTACAAGTTGAATTTGTTGATATGTTAGAAACCTCTTTTTGATCTAATTGATCTTCTGTTTTATTCATGGTAACAATGAGGTCTGGACGCTTGTGGATTAACTCTGCTACTGGAAATTTTCAAACCTCGTTAACTGAAATTTGTTTTCTTAGGTTTTGTCGATGTTAACTCCCATAATTGGAATTTTGTGGCTCAATAACCCTTCTAACTCAGACAAATTATCAGGTTTGGAAAACTTATTTATATTCATTCCACTTTCCTCCGTACTTGCTTAGTTTTTCAGTACTAACTAAGGGTACGTACCTATGGTAAGCGAGCGAATAAAAATGCCGACACGAATGTTTAAATTATTAACAGCCGCTGACAAAATTAAAGTTATTATTGGATAATAGTGGAAATTTTGTAAATGGATAAAATTTTGTATTGTTCTGAAAAATAAAAAAAAAAATAAATAAATAAAAAAACAATAAAATACGTAATTTCTTAATTAATATATCCACTCTTATAAATGGAAAATAAAACATTACATTTCGACCTCTCTTTGTGGGACCCTCGATAAATAAGAGAACTGTCGTTATAAACTTGCCTATTTGGGGAATTGTATAAATGAAAAGCTTCCATAAGAGATAGTGATAAAATACTAAATCCCTTGAGATGTCAGGTATACAGGTTTCATTGTAATTGTAAACCCCAGAGAGACAAAGGAAATACATAAAAATATTATAAAACACTATACTACTCGAACGAAAAGGTGTATTGATAAAATGAATGATTTTTTTCACAACACAGGGGACAATATATTTAATTTTCAATTATATTATAAAACAATCATAAAAATATTATAAAACACTATACTACTCGAACGAAGTAGCAGATAAAAAAATGATTTTTTACATGCGGCTCACCTGATGGTAAGTGACTACCGCCGCCCATGATCACCCACAACACTAACAGCATTGTAGGTGTACTCAGGTATGCTACGGGCCTTTTAAAAAGGAATATGCTCTTTTCTTGAAGGTTATGTTGTCGTATCGGTTCGGAAATACTGCTGCTGGAAGTTGATTCCAAAGAGTGGTTGTGCGTGGAAGAAAGTGCCTTGAAAAACGCAATATGGAGTACCGCCACTCGTCCAGATGGTTGGATGATGTATGAATGAATTAATGAATGAATAACTTTATTTGTTCAAAGTTCTAGTATACGAAAATTCAAACAGACATTTCAAGAGTCAGCGTAGCCGTGGTGTGATGAGTTATTTTGTCACCATTCCCAAGTGGCCAAAAAGCCGTGTCAACAAACATCGTAAAATTTTACTTTACAGCAAATGCTCCATTTTGAATATTATTTTTATGAGCGCTGAGACTTAATTGCGTTCCTTAGTCAGGACATGCGCAGGCGAGGGATAATTTTCGACGTACTAGAGCAGTGTTTTTCAATATTTTTCATGACGCGACCCCCTTATAATGTAAAAATATCTTGCGACCCCCTACCCTCCGCGGTTTCGAATGTGTATGAATTTTATTACAGTACAGTTATGAAATCCGTACAGTTGTATTTCACTATCATATTAGCATCCTTCATGTTACCAACTTGTTCGTTAATAGAAAAGATGATGATGATGATCATCATCATCATCATATCAGCAATTAACTGTCAATTGCTGCAATATAAGCCTCCCCCATAATGGGGCTTTTGCCAGTAGTTGCCATGCTTGGCTGGCAGGTTTGCAATTGCAGTTAGGTTTTGGTAATATTTTAAGAGGGACGCTGCTGTCCATCACTTGACCATTTAATTCTCTTAGTTGCCTCTCACAATATCTACAGGAAAGAAAGGGGTGGCCTATTCTATGCCGGAACTACACGGCCGACGATATTGAGTAAAATCTTCATTTAGCTAGCAGAAAAAAATAATAGTTTGTTCTCTACACTTCTTCATTCTTAATAAGACAAGAAAGACAAACAAAAACACTCACCTGTCGCTGGAGACGAGTATGAGCTGAGTGTTGGCGTATTTGGCTCTGCGCTTGCGCACTGCTGTCAGTGCAGCACACAAGCTCGGAGAGAACGCTCGACATGGCGGACACTGCAATAAATTAAAAAATATGTTAACAGGAAAAAACATGATTGATTTGGTTGGAAAACTGAGGTTCCTTGATTGAGCAAGATCACTGCCAGGACATGGCGTGTCTGCCTATATTATCGGATGTAAGTATTTAACGATACGACAGCGTTTTCAAAATCTAAAGTCTCAAGTCAGTCTCGTCACTAATAAGCCAATAGTAATACATTTAAATGAGAATGCAACAGTATACAAGCGTGCTGATAGGAAGTAGTTACCAATTTAGCATCCAATTTGGAAAGTAATATCAGTCAAGAATAGGCAATTGAGGTAGGCGAACATGACATCTTACATAATTCTGAACCTCTGTCCCATTCGTGTTTCTACCGTGAAGCAGTTGTGTTTGCATGGCTGTGTTTCGGTTTGAAGGTTTGAATATGGCAGTGAATTTACTGGGTACAAAGGAATAACACCTGAGTCCTCAGGAATGGCAACGCATGGGGGGTATCATGGGCAAAACAATATACTCTGTTATATCCATGGTACTGCTCATGTCTATAGGCGACGGTTACCACTTTCCATCAGGTGGGCCGTCAGCTTGTTTGCCTTTCTAAGTTGCATAAAAAAAAAAGATAAAGGACAGAAATGCCTTGAATATAAAATGCAGTGAACTAGATCACTTACCCAATGAGCGGCAAAGTAGAATACCCTTACAGCATCAGCTGGTAACTTCTCGTACAGCTTACTTTCCTTGTCTCCTTCGAGCTGAACCCCTCTCAACACTTCGTGGAGTGGGGGCGCCGGCCAGGGGAACCTCTCCCCTAGAGGGTCAGATAGGAGAGCGTCGCGAACCGCTCGCCCACGTATGACTAGAGTTGGCACTCCGACGGCGATGCTGTATTTTTGTGTAAGTCGCCGCTGCAAAGAAAAAAAATCTTTTTTATTTGATCAGAATAATTTTATTTAATTCCGTTACCAATAATATGTGTGTGATTGCCAACATTCGAAGATTAATTACTATTATTATTAGCATAAGTTCCACAACCTTCCATATTTTAATTAATGGGTGATAATGGAATGGTAACCCAACCCGCGCTATTGGTATACACCGGCGGGGCACCAGTGAAGGATGATAGGTGAAGATAAAGCAGGTCAGTTAGTCATCGTGACGAATTCAACAAGAATTGTTCACGATGGTTTCCAAGGGGAACCACGTGGAGGTCGACCTAATAGGGCATATTGCTAGCAATGGGGCTGTCAAACTCCATTGCTAACAATCCCTTTCCTTCCAACCTTCCATATTAGCCATCAATCTCCGACTGCTATCTTGTTTATAGACTTCCGCAAGATAACATCTAGTTTAGTTAAATATATCTGTGAAATCTAAGAACCTACCAACATCTTGCAGTCGATCATGATTCATAAATTTCTTCACATAAGGGAAAGATATAGATACATTCTTTATTGTTTGCTCCAAAAAATTACAGTAGTAAACTTATTATAAATACAAACAATTATAAAAAAAAACTACACTGAGAAAACAATGGGCGACCTTATCGCTAAAAGCGATCTCTTCCAGACAACCATTGGATGGAGAGGAGTGATTATAAACATATACATAGATATAGTTTTTAATTATCACACTGGCCAGGCGGGTTAAAATTGAAGTTTTTCAAGACAAATAATCTCTTGCTCTGATGTATCCTTAGTTTCTTAATTAGTTTTTACGCATGGTACCACATGGTGACATGTAATTGATAGGTTTTAGCTGGGACTACTTTGTATCGTGGAATTAATACCCTGCAGTGTTTAAAAATATAAACATATACTCTATGTCTTTACTTAGAGTTCATATTCGTAGTTTAAAATTAAATGTGTTGTAAAAATTTGTTGTTTGCTTGATTGATAACGAACAAGCTGTGAGCTGGGTACCAGCTAGCCTGGTGGTCTACACAAAAATAACTGTTTCAGTAATAAATACTATACTAATATTTCCTTAGAAAGAAAAGATAAGACGCTTGTTGCATATATGGCATCCTTATCTCATTTAGTTGGATATTGCAATTGTAGATAGGAACACTTTTTAAAAATAAAATATTATATGTACATATGGACGCTCCTCAGTTACTTTGTGTTTCATTTAAATAATAATTATTTCTCAAACATGCTTGGAAATGTGAGCATTATTTTGACAATCTTCTTAGAAATAAATCAAAATTGCCATACTGGCCAGATACATGCAGCAGCGGCCGGCAAAAGTTGTATGAAAATCCATATCTGTCGTGTTTTGCGGCCAGATAAATTACTATGTAAACTCATATCTGTCCTGTAATTTAAAAATCGAATGACCTTTTACTTCAAAATATAGCTACCAAGGAGGTAACTAGTACAAGGTTTTATTTAAATTTCGAATTGGCTTGCAAATAGAAAGCTGTTTATTGTAAAAAAAAAAAAAAAAACATAGGAACGTTATGGTGCGTGAAAAATTATTATTGTTCGTTATTCATCATTAAACTTATAAAGTAAAATTGTGTTTTTAATTTTCGCGCATTGTTTAAGAAAAGTACTATACAAGTCTTGGCCACAACTAGGCATTGATGGACTAACGTATGTGTGCCTCGGCTACGCCTCGGCCCACATTTGCACGTTCGTCCATCAATGCCTCAGTTGTTGGCCGCTGCAGTAATGTACTATAAAAACCATTTTGCCTGCCCTGTTATATGGAACAATGCTAGAGAGAAAAGAGAGAAATCTTATTTTTCCTTTGTTACTTTAAATAATTTAACGAAAGAACTGTTATGTGTAGCTTAATAAAATACACTTAAGTATTTTCTTTCTTTCCCAAATGTCATTCAAAGGCGCCGTTGCTGCACTTAAAACACGGACAAAATCCGATGAAACACTGCCTAATGTCCATATTTTTGTGAGACATTTCAACAAAAAAGGCCAGTTATGAAGGACCGTCCTCCGGGATAATGTTGGGTGGGTATCAAATTTAAGTTATCACTCACTTACCAGCGGTAGCTCGCATTTTCGCCAACTGAAATGCACTTTGATAACAGATAACCTACTTTTTATTAGGCAATTTTCAAAAAAGGGTTTCTCAATTTGTCTATATATGTTACATACATGACCTTAGGATACATCCTAAGGTCGTTCCTGCATTTGTATTAGTGTGAGTGTGTATGTAAAAGTGTTTTTAATCCTTTGATATTATGTCTGTGACTTAGTCTAGTTTATGATAGTCTTTTTTTTATACAACTTAGAATTACAAACAAACTGACGGTCCACCTGATGGAAAGTGATAACAGTCGCCTATAGACATGAGCAGTAGCATGGACATAACAGAGTATACTGTTTCGCCCATGATACCGCCCATGCGTTGCCATTCCTGAGGACTCGAGTGTTATTCCTCTGTACCCTATAAATTCACTGCCATATTCCACCTTTCAAACCGAAACACAGCCATGCAAATAACATACATACATACATACACATACATATATAATATATACACAATCAAATATATACATAACATACACATACTTAACAGCACACATACAACAGAAAAAAAATGACGAAGGAAAACGAAGAGAGAACACAGGAAAATAGTACAAAAGTGAGAGGTAGTAGGATTTAACAGAGGTTTTGAAGCTAGTAAGAGTTTGAGCGTACCGAATAGAGGTAGGTAGTGAGTTCCATAGGCGAACTGCCTGTACAGTAAAGGATTTAAAATAAAAGGAAGAAGAATGAGTGGGAAATTTGAGTCGGAGGTTATTGACACTGCGTAAAGTATGATCATTAGCCTCACTGAGAAACAAGAATCAGTCTTTTAGATAATCAGGAGCAGCAGGATTAAAAAGGATTGCGTAAAGAAGAGACAGGATATGCAGAATACGACGAAAACGGATAGGAAGCCACTTGAGTTGAGCACGAAATTGAGAAATGTGATCATATTTGCGAAGACCAAATATGAAGCGGATACATAGTAGTTTATTTTTTAGTCCAAAATAACTGGTTTTATCAAAATTGATGTATTTTTTTATGGGACATTATCTTTAATATTATTAAAAAAAAATCTATCAGGCGAGTATAGAGAACTGTATTGCTTATAAATGACACTGGTACTTTGCGCCTGTCCCATGGTCTGTTGATAACCTAAATCTTTTAATCTTTCTACGCGCATCACGTCCGCCATGCGTATAGCTGGTACTCATGGTTAGAATAATAAATTGCTACTTACGGAGAGCCCGTGGTATTTTATTGCCTAATCGAATATTTATTTTATTCCGATTTAATAGAATTATGACAGAACGTTTGAATTTTGACGCCATGTTTATATAACTCACTAGACGTTTCCCGTGGCTTTACCTACATTTGTTTTTTTTTTACAACACAGGGGGCAAACGAGCACGCGACTCACCTGATGGTAAGTGACTACCGCCGCCCATGATCACCCACAGCACCAACGGCATTACAGGTGTGCTGTCGGCCTTTTAAAAAGGAATATGCTCTTTTCTTGAAGGTGTGTCATTCGTGTATCATTATATGAAGTATTCTGTTTTATTTTTTTTTTTATATATTTTTTTATAGAACTTAGAATCGTAAACAAGCTGACAGCTCACCTGATGGAAAGTGTTAACCGTCGCCTATAGACATGTTCTGTTTCGCCCATGATACCCTCCATGTGTTGCCATTCCTGAGGACTCCGGTGTTATTCCCCTGTACCCTGTAAATTCACGCCATATCCCACCCTTCAAACTGAAACACAGCCATGCAAACATATCTGCTTCACTGTTGAAACACGAATGGAACAGAGGTGCCCAAGCAAACGACTTTTGTACAAAGTCTACCTCTCGTATCAGCCTTTAACTGTCCACTGCTAAACAAGCCCTTCCTTGTAAGAGGAGTTTAGTCAGTAGTTGCCACGTTTGGCAAGCGGGTGGGTAACCGCAGTTAGGCTTTTAGAGATGTTCTAAAATAAATATGTTAAAAGTCTAAAGTCTGTTATGCAATATTATTTTTTGGATAACACACTTTTAATATATTTGCTAAAAGTGTGTTATCCAAAAAAAATAATATTGTAATATATTTGTTATCATACGCACAACGGCCCAAATAAGAGGCTAAGCGCGGAAATAGTCTTTTTCACATTCAATTTATTTGCTACTGGACTAGTATATACATATTGCAACTAAAATATACAGTTAATGCTATGTATTATCCATCCTTAGTTTGAACCATTGCTGACCCCTCTGCGTAGCACGTGCCAATGGACCGATAAATGGGTAGCCACAAAGCCGCAACTTTCTGACAATTAACGATTAATGAACTCTTAATGACTGTTGCTTTGACGAGAAGTATGTATTAACTGTAATTAAGATAATCTGTACTAGCGATTCGCCCCAGTTGCGCACGCTTCTTTTTTTTTTTTTAATATAAAATATAGCCCATTTTACTGGTTGGTAGCTTTCTATAATTTTGTTTTTCGCTTTTTTTTTCTTTATAAAATGTAACGTATTTGCATATCCACATGTTTTAAGGCAATTAAACAGCTGCCAAAATAGTGCCAAGTGGCTTTTGTAATAATTTTAAAATGTTTAATGCAAATAAATAAACTAACTAACTAAAGATCAGGTGTTCCCAAACTTATTTTATCTACTGTCCACTTTGAGAAAAAAAATTTTTTAGCGCCCCCATTTTTTCACCTAATTAAAAACCCCTATTTATTTATTTATTTATAAAAGACACACCAACAATATGCTCAAAACAATTAAGCAGACAATGCACAATGTTATAAGTAAGTAAAAAGTGAAAAATTACTATTCAAAAATGCTTAAATCTAAGTTTACCTGAACAAAAACATTTCACTCCTCCCTACCAAGCTTAAGGCCATGTGAACACATCAATTAAAGGTG